CATATGCATTTGATGAACTATCACTAAAAATAACAAGCATAGGCAGACCTATCGCTGTGGGTGGTTTGATACATCTTTCAAATGACAAGGAATCAATCCCAAATAATTTGTGAAAGTGTACTACCCATTGCTCTTTCATATGGGCAGGCAAAGGGTCATCCCATCCTAACTTGGTACTGCAACTGACAGTTTCCCGTAATAATATTTTGGCTTTCAATGTGTATGGAAGAAGTAAACCTAGTGGGTCATACACAGAACACATCTGACTTATAACAATTCTCTTAGTTAAAACTGGAGGAATGTTACAAATAAAATTTGAAAATTTTAAATCTGGACCTGTTCGTATACCCTTATATTTAGGAGAAAAATTCAACCTTGCTTTGAATTTAAATTCATCATTCCAACGATCCCAATATAAACCAAGAATTTTATCGCCTTCATTCTCTGAAAAATCTAGATCATCCTTATCAACATCACCAGTCATAATCCACTGCTTTACCTTAAAATTGCCATATGAGAGTATTTTCTCAGTTTCCTGAATCAACTGCAAAGCTTTCTCTTTACTCTCAACTGATTGTATAATATCATCAACATAAGAATTTGATATTATCATAGAAGCAGCATCGGGATACTTTTCCATCCATAGCTCAGCTGTGTGTTTAAGAGCCAACATAGCAATTATTCCAGAAGGTTTGTCACCAAAGCCCATTGAAGTTAACACATAATGCTCAGGCTCACAATTCAACTGGAAATCTCTCCAAACAAATCTGCGTACATGTTGCTCCATTTCAGGAAGCTTAATACTGTTGTACATCTTACTTATATCACCTGCTATACCTATGGCTCCTTCACGGAATCTCAGTAATATGCCCACCATGGAATTCAAAACATCAGGACCCTTGGCCCAAAAGCTATTTAGAGATTGTCCCATGAATTTGGCAGAGGAATTAAAGACAATCCTAATTGGTGTGGATGTAGATCCTGGCTTTAGCACTTCATGATGTTGAAGATATGTAATAGGACCAGCATAACCTTTTATTTCATCTGGTGTTAATTTACGTGCAACATCACGTTTGATCATATCCCTTATTTGGTTGTTATAAGCTTTAGCATATTCTGGTCCAAGTTTCAGCAATCTCTTCTCAGTACTCCTTAATTTGGCAACAGCAACAGAGATATTATTCTGTAATAAATTAGGGTCTTTAACCCATGGGAATTTAGCGGACCATTGTTTTTTTTCTGAATCATATTGTAATCCTTTTTCAATTAAGGCTAACTCTCTTTCTCCTCTAATACTATAGTCATTGTTACCCACTGCACATTTGCCACATTTGCAATCACCACATCTAGGATTACATTCTGTTCCTAAATATTCCACTGTGAAAAATTTATCAATCTGATCCTTAATATCAGATTTCGGTTCAACAGTTATATCTTTGTCATATATAATCCCAGAAATATGGTTTATTCTGATGCCTACAATATCCCTAGTACCTGAGGCACAAGCTATACTAGGGTGACTACCACGAACACACATCCCAAATCGAGATTCCATAAGTTGTAAATTTTCACCTACAGTTTCTTTAACTGTAGGGATTAGAGAGCAATAGTCAGCACCTATCAGTAAATCTATCTTACCATGAGGTCTATCCAATTGGCATACATCAGTACTCTTAAATAAATGCTTCACATGTGACAGATTAACCTTGTTTATACATGATGTTATTTCATCTATACCATAAGCAGTAATATTCACATTATTCCCCTGTTTATCAGTAAGAACAAGGTCATATTCCTTACTGTTATATGTTACAGTCTGGTTTCCTAGTTTAGTCACAGCTAAGCGTATATGTTTGCCTTTCAATCCTAATGAGGCTGCCATATCATTTCGTATCATTGTCACGTCAGCCCCAGAATCAAAGAGTGTATTTAATACTTGATTATTACATTTAATCTTATTGACCATGAACATGACTCCATTTCTTTTCAAGCTGACGTATGAACTCCCAACAATCTGATTTTCATGAAGGCTCGTGTGATGGAGCTTCCCACAAGTTTGATTATTTGCATCAGTTGCAGAACATCTTGATTTTTTAAAACATCTCCTAGATACATGAATTCCCTTTAGACAATTAAAACAGATACCTCTTTTCCTTAGAATTTCAAATTTCTCACTATTGTTTAACTTCTGAAATGTTGCACAGTCTAAAATATCATGTCCATCTGTTCCATGATACCAACACCTGTTCAAATGTGTACTTAGAGTACCAATAGACCTCTTTTCTTCACTCTTTTCTTCTGTAAGCTTGATCACAAGGTTATTTATATTTGTTACAGCCTTCTCAACATCAGACAGCCTCTTCATTATTTCTGATTCTTCAGTATGGTCAGAGCTAATCCTATCTTGATTGTACACAGCATAGTTCACTCTAGCTTTAGTGTTAACAGGGTTCCTTACACTGGCAATCAGATACTTAAGGGATTTCCTTTCACCCAAAAGGTATTCCAGTAGTTTTTTAAATAATTCAACAGGTTTAACATTTTCTGCTATTTTGATCCATTCCCGCTTCTGAGTTGGAGGCAAGAGTTTCTCTATCTGACTTGTCATATTGGCAGTATTAAGTTCTGAAGATAGACCCAACTGATCTAGATAAAGAAAATTTTGCTCAATTTTGTCTACCATTCTGATAAAACCTAAACTATCACCCTCGACTACAGGTTCAATTTCTCTCAAATCTTCAATTACTACATCAATTACTCGTCGACTATCACTGTACATGTCATCTAACCGTGCAAACATTTTATCAAAATCATGCTCGACCCCACAAATAGAGTCTAAGGCTTCTCCTGAGAGGCACTGTCTAAGAGCAAATGGGTCTTTTCCATAGTTGGGTTGCATAAGTCTGACATAATCCCTTTTAAAATTACTATAGTCTCTGATTTTTCCATCAAACTTTGGAATGTCAATAGATTTTACTTTGATGGCCCCTTTCATTTGCATCTCATCTTTAATCTTTACAAACAAAACATGGGCAGCACATTTCTTATCGTCAAGTTCCTTAATGTAAATGTCTGCAGACTTTAATTCTTGAGTATCACTAGTTTCATCAAGTAAATTGCAATAACTTTCATTTGCTAGTTCAACTTCCTCAAAAGCTTTAACAATCAAATTATAGTTATCTTCCAATATTTCTAAGGCAACTTTATCTTTCACATGCTCATAAAATTTTTCTAGCTTACGTGTTAACTTTCCTTTGGCAGTTCCTCTATGCTGCTTAGCCCTTTTTGACTGATTCTTCATCCAACCGTCTACCGAAGCAGCAGAGCCCTCCATGCTGCCGTGCTGAGGCTCCTCGTCGCTGAGCCCCATCCTGAGTGTTGTCGAAATGTTTCACGGGTCACCAGAAATAATACGGCTTGTCATAATGGTTTATGATTTATTTCGACCTGCAATAAACATTAACACACAAATAACACAAATCTTATAACATGGGCACAACAAATGAAACAAATACCAAATCACTCATATGAATTTCCAAGAAAAATAAAATTATGTCAAAATATTAATGCAAATTATAAAGAAATCAAACTTACAACATTGCCTCATCTGGTGAGCGTGAAGTGTTATCCCTTTTTTCCACTTAGAACAGAAGATCTCTTTTTTGGGAATATGCTTATCTGCTTCTAAAGATGCTAAATACAATTCTAGCATCCCAAAACAACAAGAAAATAAAACTGCAACTTATAATACAACTTCAAAAACATAATATGGATCTTTGTTTATGACTCAAAATTCCCATGCGTTACCTCTATTTCCCATCATGCTCAGCACATAAAAAAAACAGAAATTGGACATGCGTGATAAAATAACAAAAAAGGAATAAATTATCATTAGTTAATACAAACTAATGATACAATTACGTTGGGGGAAATGGGGGGGAGGGGGAAGGGGGGGTAAGCCTCTGCTTTTATTGATTTGATTTCGTTTTATTTTGTGATTTTGATTCTCTTTATTCGACTTTCTTTTCGTGTGAGTGAGCGCGCTCGATCTCTCATCTTTTCTCAGTTTGTGTTTCTCTCTCTCTTTTTTTCTCTTTCTTTCTCTCTCTCTCTCTTTCTGTCTTTCTCTTTTTCTCTCTTTCTCTCTTTTTCTCTCTCACTCGCTCGCTCGCCCGCTTTCCGTCTCTTTCTCTTTCCACTCTCTCATTATCTCGCTTCTGCCCCGGCTTCCCTTCGTCCCTCTTGCTTTCTCCCTCTCACTCATTCTCCCTCATTCTCTTCCCTTTCCTCCCTACCTCCTTCCCTCCCTCCCTCCCTCCCTATCTCCCTTCCTCCCTCCCTCCCTCCCTCCCTCCCTCCCTCCCTCCCTCCCTTTGCATCCTTTCCTCCTCCTTATTTCGTTTCTCTCTCTAATTCCGTATTTCTCCGCATTTTCTCGTCCTTCCTTCGTCATTCTCCGGAGTCGTCTGCCCTTTGGTCTCACTTAGTGCGTCAGGCTGCATTCCATTCCCTGTGTCATTTTTTGCGCCGGGAGACTGGCATCTTGGCTTTGGACTTTTTTTTTAGACATTTTTCTTTTCCTTTTTTCTTTTCTTCCCTTTTTTTTAATTTTTTCTTTTCTTTAATCCCTTTGTTCCAGGCGTATTTTTCTTTATCTTTTTTTTTTCTCTCGCTTTTCTTTTTTTTTCTCACTCTCTTTTATTATTTCTCTGTCGCTTTTTTTTCTTTCTTTCCCACCTTTCCCCTAATTACCCCCCAGCCCCCACCCCCTCGGCCCCGCACCCGCCCGCCCCCCGCCCGCGCCTCCCCTCGGGCTCATCAGCCTCTGCTTTCGCTGTCACTGGCGCCGCCGCCCAATTGGTTGCATCGTCATTACCATTTTTCCGCTCTCCGCGCCGCCCACTTCCGGCACATGGACGCCCTACGCTTACGCCTGTCTCGCTCTCGGCTCTTCTCTCTCTCTCTCTCTCTCTCTCTCTCTCTCTCTCTCTCTCTCTCCC